CTTTTTTCCGACCTGTCAATCAATCCAGAAGGCGTGTCAGCAAATGACCAATCGGTGACCTCAATTTGTCCCAAAAGTAAACGCCCCTTGCCTGCGGAGCTGACAGCAGCTCAGGGTGGACGCTCGAGTATGAAGACTGAACCCTCTGTGGACAGTTGTGGTTCCTGGAGTTTCCAAAAACAGAATGGGAGGCAGAGCTTTCAGTTATCAAGCTCCTCTCTTGTGGAACCAACTTCCAGTTTCTGTCCATGAGGCTGACACATTATCCAGTTTTAAGACTAGGCTTAAGACTTTCCTTTTTGATAAATCCTATGGTTAGGGTCGGTTTGGGTTTCCTGAGCAATCCCTTAGTTATGCTGCTATAGGCTTAGACTGCTGGAGGACAAACTGACCACATTTCTTCTCTCTGCTACTGTCTTTACTTGCTCTGCTCAACCTGTTTTGTATTTGTAATTATTTTTTCTATCCTTAACATGTGTTTTATTTTTTGTCTTTCAGGTACACCTGGACCTATATCTGGACATGGACCTATACCTGGACCTGCCATTCTGTGTTCCTCTGTCTCTCCTTCCTGTTCCTCTCAAACCAGCCGGTCAAAGCAGATGGCCGCTTGTCCTGAGCCTGGTTTTGCTGGAGGTTTCTTCCTTTTAAAAGGGAGTTTTTTCTTTCCACTGTTGCCACTGTGCTTGTTCAGAACGGGAGATGTGAAGAAGTGAAGATTCAACAAGTCTGCTGGCTTCCTTAGATAGAGAACTTTACTAATTTGATTTTCTTTAATTTTTTTATGTCAAATCATGTCCTGATAGACAAGATGTAGAGATAGAATTGATAGAATAGAATAGATAGAATTCTAGAATTGCGCCGCTCAAGGTGGCTGCATGTTGGAGCAGCTCTGTTACTTTCATTCTGAGATTTTGCATTTGGAAACATTAATTCCTCTTTTTCTGGATGTAAATCACATTTTTTGGATGATTGTTTCCTCTGGTGTCAGATGCTGTGCAGCTGGAAGGATTTTTACTGAAACTTTTTTAGTTTTGGACATTTGTTATGATGCATAACCATGGCAACAAGGCAGTTTTCTACAACTAACAGCTGATTAACATCTCAAAAGCTCAAATAATATCTCAACTACAGCCCCAAATCTCAAATGAGTTGAAAGGATGTTCTGTGGACGCATTCTCATCTACCTGCCAGTTGTGCTCGAGTGCCTGACCACTGAGATCCTGGAACTAGCAGGAAACATGGCTCATGACAGTAGAAGGACAGGATCGTCCCTCAGTACCTACAGTTGGCTGTCCGCAGCGATGAGGAGCTCGGCACACTGCTGGGAGGAGTGGCCATCGCTCTGGGAGGAGTTCTGCCCAGCATTCGGACGGTCCTACAGCCCGGGGGAACCGAGAGGCCAGCTGAGTCTGGGTGGACGGATCAGACGGCATCTGCAGCCAGTTTCTTAGGATCCACTGTGGGATGGACCTTTACAAGAGATCCTTCCTGTCTACAGCATCAGTATCTATAACATCTCTTAATGAAATGATAACGAGTTACAGCAACAAATAATTTCCCTCTGGGATTAATAAAGTATTTTTGAATTGAATTGAATATTTTTTGTAATACTACTATCTGTCCTAATGGTTCTTCCCTTTTTCTCCCAGCAGCTGTTAGACTCTACAACCATCACTGCTCCCAATAAACTCAATAAGTATTAAATACATGCTGACCTCTGCTAAAACACACACTCTACCTATAATACTGTATTATTATTAATACTTTAATAATATAAAGTATTAATTTAAAACTGTAAAACTGTATTAATAATTATTTCTCTGAATGCATGCCTTTAATTACTCAGCAAAAGTTTACATTTAATTAAAAAAAATTATGACTGAAAGAAGTTATAGCAAGTTGGTAAAGCGTTCTTACTTCTGTAGACGGATGAGATACGTCTTATTGTCGATGTCATACACGTTGTTTACTCTCATGCCAATGTAGCTGTAAAAGAAAAAGGTTTAAAAAGTGAACGGCCAGCTTGCATGTGTGGATAAAAACATTACAATGGAAGAAACAGGCTAAGCTAGCTTAGCTGTGGCTAGCACCCATCACCTACTTCGCATTAATTTCGGCAATAACTGCCCTGATATCCACAGTAGTGAACCGGGTTTTCATCGTGCTATATATCCAGACTGCTCGGGTTATAATTAGGAATGAAAATGTTGACTCAAATTTAAAAATTCACATCTCCAGGACAACGAAAAAGAACAACATGCACTCGTTAAAACTTCGGAGTATGCGCAGACGCAATAGACTATTTTGACGGAAGCCGAAGTCGGCCAGAAATTATCAGGTCCACGCCTTGTACACTGAACAGCAGCAGTTGATGCTCTTGTGTCTGGTATTGTCATTTTATGAGAGTGTAGTGAATTTGCTGCTCTGCTACAGAAGGATTTACCTCTGTAAAACTACTTAATAAGCTCATGGTAGGCTTTGTAACAATTTATGTGCAGCAATGCTGCACTACTCAAACTGGCTTATAGACCTTAAGAACAGAGCAAGCTTACGAAATGCGTGCAAAACGAGCCCGAGCACAGACGGGAACAACAGGGGGAACGCAGCGGAGGTGCAGAACAACCCGCAGCCGAATGAAAAAAACTCCTACCTCTGGAAAAATGGTAAGAAAGGAACGAGAGTCAGTTATGTCTAATATCTGGGCCTGCTGTGAATAAAACACCTTGACTGGCAGCTGTCGGGGCTTATTTCGTGTTTTTAATTCTAATAAAATAAATAAAAACGGTTTGTGGGCTGGTGTGACGGGAGCTCGTGCAGTGTGTTTCCAGTTCCCTCCTCAGGTCAGAGGAGGGCGAAGGCGCGTGCTCCGTTACCAAGGCGACGGTCAGCCACCGGGCTCAGCGAGGCTAGGCTAATGCAGACGAAGCGACTTTGGTGTCCTTTTATCACCTCGATGCGTGAAAAACAGTTCGTTTTACGGCTTAAAATTAGCATGTACTGTACAGACACGCATGTTAGAGATATTCGACGGAAATGGGGCGGGAAAGACTCAAAGGAATGCATAGTAAGTAGGAAACAAATGGTCTGACAAGCGGTCAGAATGAGGTTTCCGTCAAAATGTATGTTCGCTAGCAACTATTTAACCTTTATCACATGTCGCTGTAACGTATGAGAAATTAAAATGCACAAAATGCAAACAAATTAAAAAATGACATAAGTTAAATTATGTTTAGTTTAAATTTTATTCAATATTTTGGTGACACTACGGAAAGTACATTGGCTCAGTTCCAGACTTGGAAATAATTTGCTTATGCCCAGGAATTAGACAGGTCCAACTCTTTATCAGAATAATAGTTATAAAAATCATTATCGTGAATGTCTACTGTTTGTGAGACAGTTTCTCCAACAGTCATTCCATTGTTCTATTTTTGTGTGTGTGTGTGTCTGTTTAGGTTACAAAATAATCCAGAAAATTGGAGAGGGCACATTTTCAGAGGTGCTGAAAACCCAGAGCCTAAAGGATGGCAAGTTTTATGCATGTAAAACGATGAAGCAGACAATTAACAGGTATGTTCCCTCTGTGTGACCCAGGCCATATCATTTCCTCCTTATTCTGTTGTTTCTTGTTGTGTTTTGACCCTTGAAACCTGAACCAGCAGCTCAACACCCCCTGTTGTCTGAAGGGAGCTATCAGATGGAGACTCACCCTGCTCTTTACATTTGATGAGCAGCAGAGCTTGAAATGAGCTTTTTAACACTTTAAGTTTGTGTACCTTTTAATCATTTAATATTTTCATGAATATGAATGAAACTGTGCCTTTGACATGTAATAATAATGTGGAATAACACATTTAGTACAGTTTATTCAACCTTTTTACACTATTAAACAGAACATACTCATTACTGTTATAAACACCATGAAGCAAATCTGTACAATATTTGTCGCTTATTGCAGTTAATGTCCTTAAGTTAAAAATTTGTAAGCAAAACAGTCACATGTATTTGTTTAACCTATGGAAACATGTCCTAAGAGCCAGTTTTGGTAAGCCAGGGTCAGAGTGCCAAGGTCCCCGCCTTCGGCCCATGGCATCATGCACCCAACTTGTATGGTTCCTCCTGCAGATGGTGGGCCAACAGGAAGACCTGGCCTCCAAATCTGAGGCCATGGTCCTGTCGGAAAAGAGTGAATTGCTCTCTTCAGGTCGAGGGTGAGGTTCTGCCTCAAGTGAAGGAGTTCAAGTATCTTGGGGTTTTGTTCATGAGTGAGGGAAGAATGGAGCGTGAGACTGACAGACGGATTGGTGCAGCATCTGCAGTATTGTGGATTTTGTGCTGGTCCATTGTGGTGAAGAGGGAGCTGAGCTGTAAGACGAAGCTCTTGGTTCACTGGTCAGTCTACGTTCCTATCGTCACCTATGGTCATGAGCTCTGGGTGGTGACCGAAAGAATGAGATCGTGGATACAGATGGTTGTAGATGAACATATGCTGTGTATATATTCATAAATTAAACGGATTCTTTCATTTTTCTGGACTGGATAATATCGTGCATTGAATAATTAAAAACGTAACGTGAGACGTTAATTATCTTTGACCCATCAAAATGAACGTGGTCATTTATTTTCAGAATCAAAATTTTAACATCATACATTTACATTAATTGGCAAATTGGAAAATAACAACATAATTAATCAGCTTTACAACCAGGAAAACCATACGGCCATGATTTTCCGTTGCTTCACCACAGACATTTCTGAAAAATATCTGGATTAATATGCTAGCAGATAGAAAAGTTTAAAGATTGAAGTTTAGAGGGAGGGAGATAGTGTGTGTGTGTGTGTGAGTGAAAAGTGTTGAACAGAACGGCACCCTCCATTCGACCCAGCTTTCCTCGGTACGCTCGGTAGTGAACTCGACTCATTACCTCTCTGACGATGAATCAGTGGAAGCGGAGCTCCAGTTAAGCTACCGGTCCAGCGTCTCCGTAGGATGGCAGAGAACCGTCCGGAGTGGTGGCGGAACTTCATCAACAACAGTTCACCTCACGAGTAGACTTCACATGAGTGGAGTCCTTCAGAAGTTCCACTCAGAGGTGGAAGATGTCATAATCCCCATAAGACTCGGAAGAGCTCTGGATCATGCTGGACTTCTGTTCTCCCAAACGACTGCAGCTGCAAACTCTCCACCCGACTCCAACTGGGTTGAACTAGGAAGTACCGACATTTAAAGAGCTCTATTTCCGGTTCATTTGGGAGTTTCTGATTGGTCGATGGACCAAAACAGAGGTGTGTTTTGTGATGTAAGAGGTTATTGAAAGTCAAGGAAAAAGATTAAGATTGTTTAAGAACAGACAGAAGATATTATGAAGAACTCAGACTTCGTGGAGCCAATTCTCTAGTATCTTGCTGTAAAAGTTAAACATGACATTTCTTTTTCAGTAAACTTGCAGTTGACCGAAACTTGAACTTTGACCAACTTACACAACTTGCTCATTTCAGACAGACGATCAAGAAATTGAATCATTACTCTGTAACATATTCCAACTTGATTTCCACTTTGAATGAGGATTAAAAATCGTTATTACTGTTTCACAGTTGATTTAAAAATGAGTAGTTCACTTCAACATTTGGAAATGGTTTGAACTAACACAATTTGATTATCAAACATTTGTAAAATAGTAATGATAATTGAAAGTAGTATTCTTTCACTTGATCAATTCAAGAAAGAAAGTCTCAGGATGGGTCAACCTGTATTTCTGGATTCAAATCAATGAAATGACAGTTTCTGTCCCATAAGGTCCTTAAGGTCAGGATTTGACCTCAGGCTTAGTTCACTACATGGTTGACATGAGTTTCCTCTGCAGGGTAGCTGGACTCTCCCTTAGAGATAGGGTGAGAAGTTCAATTATCAGGAGAGACTTGGAGTAGAACCACTGCTCCTCCACATGGAGGAGCCAGTTGACTGGATCTCCCTGCTCAAGCTGCTGCCCCCGAGACCTGACTTTGGATCAAGCAGAAGATAATAATAATAATAATGTCATCACAATGTCAGCACTGTATGTTTCCATACAATGGCGAAATTAGTCTCTGCATTTAACCCATCCACCACCAGGTGGTGCAGTGGGCAGCTATTGAAAGTGCCGGGGGACATTTTGGGGATGAGACGTGCTGCCCAGAGACGCCACGTGATGTGCAGTGACTGTGGATCGAGCCTGGGACTTTCGGGTCCCAAGCCGGCTGCCCTGCCTCTACACCATGTCGGCCCCATGGATAGATGGAAACAACTAGTGATTGAAAATATGTTAAATGTTAAACCCACCAGCCATATTTGTTACCTACACAGCGTGTGGCCACTCCTGATGTAGGTAAATGATGAGACTCAAGCCTTCTGGGGGGCAGAGATGGGGTAGAGGTAGGGCAGCTGACTTGGGAAAGCCCCAGGTTCGATCCCCAGCCATTCCCATGTCGTGGTGTCCCTGAGCAAGACACCTAATCCCCAATTGCTCCCTGGGCGTTTACATAGCTGCCCACTGCTCCACCTGGGTGTATGGGTTAAATGCAGAGAACCATTTTCACCATTGTATGTGAACATACAATGATGACAACACATAACACTTCACTTACTTCACATGGTTCAGCTTTGGACCTGAATTTAAGAATTGATCAATAAACTGTATCTGGAAGACTACTGGAGTAAACTCTTTCAAACTGCACCACTTAGTTCAGGATGATCTTTCAGTTTATAGTCTGCAATGAGTACCTTTAAGTCAGCAAATGTAATTTAGCACAAACACCATTTCCTCCCCAAAGTCTGGAACAGGCAAACAACCTGCGAGAAGTCCAGGCCATGAAGAGACTGAGTCCTCATGCAAACATCATCCAACTGCATGAACTGATTTTGTGAGTATTGGGGATTTATTATATCATCTGTCGTGTTGTGATATGTCTCAATAATCTATCACATTGTTTCAGTGACAAAGAAACAGGGACAGTGTCTTTAATATGTGAACTGATGGAGATGAACATCTATGAGTTCATACAAGGTAAAACAAGTTGCATGTAAAACTGGAACTTAAAAATGTGAGTTTGCAATGTTTTCTAGAATGAATGGTCATTTGTTGCAGGACGAAAAGCACCACTGCCTGAAAATACAGTTAAAAACTACATGTACCAACTGTGCAAGTCACTTGAACATATACACAGGTAAAACGGATGATACAGAAGTGCTTATGACATATTCAGTCAATGCATGTTTTAGTTATGCTAATATTTCTTGTTTTCCAACAGTTGTGGAATCTTTCACCGAGATGTAAAGCCTGAAAACATTCTCATAAAAGTGAGACATGTCATTAGTCTGATCTGTCACAGCAAGGCTTGATTTCCAGCATTAAACTTTTTTGTATGAATTGCAGCAAAACGTTTTGAAGCTCGCAGACTTTGGCTCGTGTCGAAGCGTGTACTCCAAGCCTCCACACACCGAGTACATTTCCACACGCTGGTACCGAGCCCCGGAGTGCCTCCTTACTGATGGATATTACAGCCTGAAGATGGACATCTGGAGCGCCGGTTGCGTCTTCTTTGAGATCATGAGGTGTTTTCCAAGAAGTTTTACCTGTTCAACTTTCACTTCTGTTAAAAGTCGATACTGTGGAGTTTAAACGTTGAGATTTGTTTACCTGTATTTGCATTCAGTTCTGTGTAATTTGACTGTTCATGTGCATTCACATTCATAAACAAATGTATGGCAACACCTATGTAAATAGCTTTGTTGTAGCAGTCATATTACTGTACTCCTGCACGTTCCAGCTTGAATCCTCTCTTCCCTGGAGCCAATGAGTTGGACCAGGTTGCCAAGATCCACAATGTGTTGGGGACACCCGATCAAAGCACACTGCAGAAACTGAAACAGTAAGGACTTTTCTCCAGACCCTTCATTTTGCCTCACAAGCTGCATCTATAAATTGTAGTGTCTTGATATCGGACAGATCTAGAGCGATGCATTTCAACTTTCCCCCGAAGAAAGGCACCGGCATCTCCAGATTACTGCCTAACTGCCCGGCTCCAGCTCTGTCTCTGCTTTATCAGATGCTCGCATACGACTCAGATGAGCGCATCACTGCAGAAACAGCGCTGAGGCACACATACTTCAGAGAAATCAGGTTAGGTGCTTAACTACAGTAAATGTTTTAAGTGACCCACAAGCCATAGCTTAAATAGTAAAAAGAAACATTGTCATTTTCAAGAGAAATATAGATGTGTTAAACTTCTTATTTTATCAGAATGGCTGAAAAGAAAACCGAGACACGTTACCGACTTTCTGAGACTTTGGATGGAATAGGAAGTACTGTGATCCAGAACTCCTTGGAGCAAATCTGCCGACCAGCCCGACTTGGGAAACAACTGAGGGGTAGACACACGAGGCAGACACCTTTAATGAGTGTAAGTCTAAACTCTCACTGGTCAGTCAGATGAAGTCAAATGCTAACCAGCTGCTTTATGTGTCTAGCTCAACACGAAACATGTAGCAGACCCCCTCAACAGACACTGGAATGCCCCGCGTTGTCCGGTGGAGCTGCCAAAGCTCAACATGGCTGTGTCAGGACCACACATCTCATTTCCAGTTTCTAACCTGCCTGCTGTTGCACTCATGCACAGAGGAACGCTGCCAGCCATCACACCAAAAAAGTGCCACACACAGTTGGCCAAGGTAATTGCCATTTCTTCTGAAACCAACACAGAAATGTAGTAGATCACAGCAGAACGGTTTGTTTTTGGGTATCCTAAAAGATTCAGTGCCTTACTAACATTTTTCAATAGATCTGACATTCAGGCTGCATTTCTTCTCTTCACAGCCACGAGATGAGTCACACCGCTCGGCTTTCAAAACCTACTACATGCCACCTCTGGATCGAAAACATGGAGGCAACTGAGAGCCAAAACACTGAAGTATCAGATCAAATCATTTCTGAGGAAACTGGACAGGCCTGAGAAACAGAAAGGACATTGTTTGGACCAGCATGATGTAAAATTGGTAAAACGTCACAAATATCCTTGTGGGGACAAAAATAATAAAAATGCATTGAAGACAATAAAACCTGTTCTAACTGCAACACCAAACGTTTAACCTGAATGTAACAACATTTAATGGAACATCTGCACAGAAGATATGTCATAGTGCTGAATTTTGTTTGACTTAGTTGGTTGTGTTACATATTGGCAGTTCTTTAAAGAGACTTTAAAATGAATATGTACACAAGCTGAACAATAAGTGAAAGATTTTCACCACTGACAATGAACATTTTTTACTTTTAAAGTCATTCGACACCTCGGAGAAGTCGTCAAACTGCTTGGACTTGTTCAGGTCTTCTCAAAGCACTGATAAGAAGGTGAATGTAAATTCCTACAACAGTAAAAATCAAACCCACGTCTGTGTTCGTTTGAAGAACAAAGTGAACGCGATTGGCCTGCATGTAAATATAGTGAGACGTGATGCTTTGAGTTTGGAAGGTCCGGTAACTGGAAAATAAATCTTTAAATAAATCATTGAGACAAAGAAGAATTTTAAACGTGTCTTCAGATTATTGAAAAGAACAAATTATAGACAAATATTCCAGAAGAAACAACATACAGGTGCTGGTCATACAATTAGAATATCAAGTAAACGTTTATTTATTTCAGTAATTCCATTCAAAAAGTGAAACTTGTATATTATATTAATTCATTATACAAAGACTGATATATTTCAAATGTTTATTTCTTTTAATGTTGATGATTATAACTGACAACTAATGAAAACTCCAAATTCAGTATGTCAGAAAATTAGAATATTACAATATTACTTATGACCATTTTTTAAAGGATTTTTATAAATGGTGTCCAACTGAAAAGTATGAGCATGTACAGCACTTAATACTTAGTTGGGGCTCCTTTTGTCTGGATTACTGCAGCAATGCATTGTGGCATGGAGTCGATCAGTCTGTGTCACTGCTCAGGTGTTATGAGAGCCCAGGTTGCTCCGATAGTGGCCTTCAGCTCTTCTGAATTGTTGGGTCTGGTGTATCACATCTTCCTCTTCACAATAATCCATAGATTTTCTATGGGTTAAAGTCAGGCCAGTTTCCTGGCCAAATAAGAACAGGGATACCATGGTCCTTGAACCAGGTACTGGTAGCTTTGTCACTGTGTGTAGGTGTCAAGTCCTGTGGGAAAATTATATCTGCATCTCCATAAAGTTGGTCAGCAGCAGGAAGCAGGAAGTCTCTAAAACTTCCTGGTATACTGCTGTGTTGACCTTGAACCTCAGAAAACACAGTGAACCAACACCAGCAGATGACATGACACCCCAAACCATCACTGACTGTGAAAACTTGACACTGGACTTGTAGCAACGTAGATTCTGTGCCTCTCATCTCTTCCTCCAGACTCTGGGACATTGATTTCCAAAGGAAATGTAAAATTTACTTTAATCAGAGCAGCAGTCCCAGGCGAGACGCTTCTGATGCTGTCTCTTGTTCAAGAGTGGCTCGACACAAGTAATGTGACAGCTGAACCCGTCTTGCATATGTCTGAGCGTGGTGGTTCTTGAAGCACTGACTCCAGCTGCAGTCCACTCTTTGTGAATCTCCCCCACATTTTGGAATGGGTTTTGTTTCACAATCCTCTCCAGGGTGCGGTTATTGCTTGTACACTTTTTTCTACCACATCTTTTCCTTCGCCTCTCTATTAATGCGCTTGGACACAGAGCTCTGTGAACAGCCAGTCTCTTTAGCAATGACCTTTTGTGTCTTGCCCTCCTTGTGCAAGGTGTCAATGGTCGTATTTTGGACAACTGTCAAGTCAGCAGACCATTTAAAGGCCTCTGCAGGTGTTCTGAGTTAATTATCTGATTAGAGTGTGGCACCAGGTGTCTTCAGTACTGAACCATCCATCCATCCATTTTCTTTACCCGCTTATTCCATTTTTGGGTCACGGGGGTCGCTGGTGCCCATGTCCAGCAATCACTGTGCGAGGGGCGGGGTACACCCTGGACGGGTCGCAAGTCCATCACAGGGCCACATAGAGACAAACGAGACAAACAACCATTCACTCTCTCACTCACACCTAGGGACAATTTAGAGTTACCAATCAGCCTAACATGCATGTTTTTGGACTGTGGGAGGAAACCGGAGTACCCGGAGAAAACCCACGCATGCACGGAGAGAACATGCAAACTCCACCCAGAAAGGCCCCTGGACCGGGGTTTGAACCAGGGACCTGCTTGCTGAGAGGCAGCAGCTCTACCAGTTGCGCCACCGTGCTGCCTCAGTACTGAACCTTTTCACAATATTCTAATTTTCTGAGATACTGAATTTGGGGTTTTCATTAGTTGTTAGTTATAATCATAAACATTAAAAGAAACAAACATTTGAAATATATCAGTCTGTGTGTAATGAATGAATATAATATACAAGTTTCACTTATTGAATGGGATTACTGAAATAAATGAACTTTTTCATGATATTCTAATTTTATGACCAGCACCTGTACAGTTCAGCCCTAAAGGAAAAAAACGTCCACTAGGAAGCTGTTTCCCAACAGCAACAACAAAAAGAGACTAAGCAATAAATTAAACTAACCAGCACTCCGGATACATCAAGACAGCATCATGGGTGACACGGACTGTGACTTGGTGAGTTAATAAACATGAAAAAGTCCGAGGACATCGCTGAATTCTCACAAAAAACTATTGCTGTCCTTGTCTCCTCCTAACTGAACAAATGTCTCGCGGTAAAGTGATTTCATAATCAGTCTTCCTGTACAGAAGTCCACCATGAAAAACTAATGAGACTGTTCTCATGAGTCTGCAATAGAGAAGTGATTTAAATAGGTTTTACCAAACTTCACCTGTGCAGTTTGAAATCAGGAGAATGTTAATTTACTCAGCGGGAACAAAGTTTCCCATTGACATCTTTCATGTTTATGTCCACAATAATGTTCGTAAAAGGTCAAATATTTTGTGACTGAGGCGTGAACAGAGCAGGATTACAATGAGACTTGAAATTATTTTGCGTTTCCCAGTTTCACTTTCATTCATCAAACATTCATTAACATGTGCAGGTGCAGAAAAAATACAGAAAACAATGTATTCAAGATTATTTTAATATTATTAATATGTATACTTTAGGCTTTAGAAATATAACTATCAATGACAAAACTTCCACTGCAGTAATGGTAGTTTGCGTAGGCCCCCATCAAATCAATTAATTACAATATACACATTATGATACAGAGCAGATTTCAATCTGAAATAATATTAAAATAAATGCTCAATAGATAATGGGTTTATTTTTTTTATCTTTTTTCCCCATCTACTGTGTTAGACATTTATGAGTTTTTATCACACCCAAAAATGTAAAGCAATTATTTTTCTAATAATCTAAATTTAAGTGCAAACCATTTTTTTATTCTTTAAAAAGTCTATAACTGCAGCATCCTGCTTTATAGAGTCAGACTTCAAGACTGAGGATGTTAAAGCCAAGTGCAACAAGGCAATCCTCAACCGCTTTTGTTCCATTAGAGTAGTTATAAAAAAAAACAATCAGTGCAAAGTCGTCAACCGGGAGATTCTAGACAAGAAAAGAGACGTGGCGGGTGAACGTGGATGGATACCATTTTTTTCAGACACATTTGTTCATGAAAAGGACAGTTTTTCCTAAATTTAGATTTTAGTCAGTGACTCTGAACCTTGACAGGATCAGGTATAAAGGCTTTTAAAATGGGATATATGTAATAAGAAACTATTATTTTAATCTCAAGACACAACTGTGTGGTCTGCATTTAACAAAGCTGAGCTTTAATTCCACAGAGGAGAACAGTCTGATTAGATCTGATGGGAAAAAAACTAAAATATGTTGAAACTCCAGAGAATAGAGCAACAGTCAAAAACATTGCACTAAACTGTCCTGTTGACCTCCAAGTCAAGTGAGTGATAAGCAAAAACAGAAAAGCCATCAACAAAACTGGGAGAGGGAAGGGTAAAAAAATAATGTATATATATATATAAAGAAAAAGAAAAGAAAAACTTGCAATGCTTGCAGGGTGAAGAGCAGCATCAGACTCTGGGTTGCAGGGTTCTTTAGCAGCAGAAATATTGTGGCTATACTACTGTTCCACTGGGAGAGCTGGCTTGGTTTTGAGATGACAGTAAACCCTAGAAAAAGGAAAACAAGGAGATTTGCATTTGGAGAGTCCACATACAGTAGAAAATCAAGCATCAAACAGCTCAGTTGAAGTGGCCCACAACTTTCCAAAAACCAAGTCTCTTCCATCAGATCCAAAGCTTGCACGCAGCTAAGGAGAAGCTCAGCCCTCTTAAAGGCTTTCAGTTTTTCTCCTGACCAAAACATCTTTTATTTATTACAAGTGTCCTAAACATATTTCCAAGAAAGCTTTTTTCTTTCCAACTTCTAGACATCACCATGTGCATTTAATAGCAAACGTGACCGTCTAAAATTCATTTTCAGTGCATTTTACGGTCTTTGTTCTCATTATTCAACATTCTTTGCCGAGTGGTTTATATTTACTTCTCACTGCTTTGAGTCGCTCCATGACAACGATGTAGACCCGTCACTGTCAGGGGTTGAACAACTGCATATTTTCAAGACGAATCGAACAGGATAAAAAGTCGAGTCGGATTTGACTAGTCGATGACATCAAAGGAACTCAAGACGCTTTATCATATTCACAAAAAATAAAAAAAATTTAAATTGCAAATAAATGCAATTTATTATTTACCCCCCAAAAAAAGAACAAAAAAAACATTGGGCATATATTTATGCTCCTACCATTAATCATACTGCAAATAAGTCACAGGAAAACCAAAACTATTACGAAGCTGCAAAAGTGAAAGAAACGTGCAGCATGTAAAAAAACAAGGCTAAGAACAGCAGGGCGGGTGGTGCCACCACCACCACCACCCACCCTGTTCTTTTTATTTAATCCACCACTGTGGACTGGGTGGAATGGAACTGAGGGCAGCGGGTCGGGTGGTGGTGGCGCACCTTATTATTATATTATAGTTATTAATGGTCGTCAGCCACGCGTGTCCGCGGATGCAGCAGCTGGTAAGCTTCAGGTGGGTCGCTGGCAGCATCCAACTGGACTTATGTGTACGTCCTTTGGCCGGCCCGTCAGCAGATCCAAACTGGATCGTCAGACGCACGCGTCCGCTGATGCAATCAAAAGCCCGACACCAACCCACCTGCCCATCCAGCACATTATTTTGTCTCGGGCCGAGTGCAGCTGTGTTAGAAACGACAGCTCTACCTCCTCGCTGTTTTTAGTTTTATTTTATTTAATCCACGTGGATTGGCTGGAATAGGGTTGGGCACAGCAGGGTGGGCGGTGGCGACTAGTCGACGTGAAATATAAAAACTTGCGATGTCTTGGAATCGACTAGTCAACTAGTCTATTCAACCCCTAGTCATTGTTAGTCTCTGCCTAAATTAAAGTCAATAACTTGGACTTTGTTTATTCCACATTATGACTTTCTTGAGCCTTATCGTAACAAAATAATCAAAGACAGGGGACAGAGGTTTACACACAAAGCTTTCAGCATGCGAGGAGCTGCAGGGACGCTTCAGGCAAATATGGTGTCATTTGCATAAAAGCTGAGATGAGGATAGGGTTTGGGTTCAACAGCATTTATTAAATCTAATTATTTGACTTCCTTATAAAATTGAGCTTGAAGAATTTCAAGTAGCTTAAGCAATAACCTCAGTTTAGAACTGCCATCCGTTGTCGAGCAAGAGAGAAAAAAACAAAAAAATACAGCTGTTAGTGGCAGGACGTAATTAATTCAATATTAGCATTCATTTTATGTGCTGCTCAAAAACTTTTTACTCTAACCAGAAATGTAGGATCTAAGATTTGGATGTCTGATTATTCTCACGCACAGAGACAACAGTAACATCTGCCGTTACTTTCATAAAGAATCTGTTAGTGGTCGCTAAAAACACTTTTTTGCCATCTAGTAGTTTTTCACACAGTAGAGACTTGAAATGTCCTCATCAAACAACAGAAAATGTTTCTATGCAGCCGTTACAAAATTAACATTTCTACCTTAAACATCAGTGGTGAACTTAAACAAGCTTGCAGATGAACGGTGGATTAAAAGAAGATGCAACGGTCGAACATTTTCCCATCCAACAATCAAACCCATCCTAAATATGTGGATAATTGGTTAGCTGCGCACTAATGAATGAATATGAATCAGTGAACAGTTTTTAATAAAGATTAAGGTTTCCTTTCACCTCACAAATCTTTACATATATTCCCCATAGGATAACCAAAAACAACATTTCATAGTAGAGAAAATAATTTAAACATAGGCATTATAGATATTTACTCTGTTTAATGTGAATCTGCTTTTAAAAGTTTAATGTTGCTTGCCTGCCTGCAAAAAGACAATTTATCTAGAAAAAGCTAAAAATGCTAATTTAAAAAAGTCACAAGTTTAGTCATAACTTTATCACTTCAACCTTTGTCACATTTCCTGTTAAAAAGAACTTACCACTTTGCCTGGCCTCGCCCATGTGCAAATAAATCCTTCCTGACAAGCAGTCACTAAACAGTCTTCTAAAAATATGAGTACAGTTAGTCTCTCGTGTGCTATTTTTTTACAGATGAGGGGCTCCAGAAGAGGCACGTCCTCCATGCGCGGGCAAAGCAACGTGCCCAGAGTCTTAGCAGGGTCCGTTTTGGTTTTCGTCAGCAGGTTGAGCTTGTCGCTGCTCTTGCTGCTGATGTGACCCATGCTGTGGTTGCGCTTGTGGTCCTTTTCGTAGTGGCGCTCCTTCCGATCATGGAGTGAGAGCGTGGCAAATTTACTCACGCCAGTAGCAATAGCACTGTCCATAATACCACTGCTGATTCCACCGCCCCCGCTGCTGGCCTTGTTGGTACTGTTTGCTGTTGTGGTGCCGGCTGAATGGGGCAGGCTGTTGGAGCGTGGTAATGTAGCAGAGACAGAGTTAATGCCAGGAGTATTGGCACCACTGTCGTTTCCATTAGTAGTGTTACTAGAGGTGTTGGTGATAATTGTAGCAGGAGGGCTAGTAGCATTCATCACATTAGTATGTGTTCGTGTCCTTGAAAGAGGAAGATGGGGGAAAAGGATGTCCTCAGTAAGGTCCCACAGGCACAGTTGAGTGTCCTGGCCCACTGAGCCAAACCGGTATGTTACGCTAACAGGTCGACTATCCGTAGAGTTGCGCTTGGAAAGTCGAGACTGGGTACTGTTGGCCCTGTCTCTTCCAAAGTGGATCATCTGATCCTGGAAGTCCTCATCGCTGCCACTGAACTCCATTGGGTCACTTTCCTCCACGCTGGTTGTGTAATGGTCAAACGCCACCACACTCACCCATGACTTGTGGCCGTGACCTCGAGCGATGACTCTGCAGTCCAAGAAAGACCACACAGTCACTAAATCGTCCTCTCCACCAGCCACTATGTACTTTCCATCAGGGCTCCAGCACACACACAACAAGCCACCAAAATAGCTCTTCATGGTGCCGTGAAGCTCCACAGCATCAAAGTTAAACACCCTTAGGAAGCCATCTTGGCTTACACAGGCAAGGAATTTCCCATCTGGAGAGAAAGCAAACTCATTTAGAGCTCCCTCCCCTACTGTCCACTTCAGGAGAGGGTTCCGCGTGGATTTGCTTTTGCAAGTGTGTACAGAGTAGTTCTCCCCCTGTTTGAGCAGCTGGTAGTGTGGTGCTGTGGTACCACAGGTATGCTCCACATTGTAGAGGTACATATTTCCACTGGCATGCGAGACCAAGAACAAGCTCTCAGAGCCTGGCACCCATTTCACACACGTCACTCTGGACTTGTCTATTAGTCTCTGGCAGAAGAGGATAAAGGTTGAGAGATGGATGAGGAAGGAGAGAAGCAAAAATATATCCATCAGTAAAAGAAAGAGTACTCAACTATAATGTATAATTTTCATCTGACTGCCCTGTAGGGACCTACCTCCTCATTGAAAAGTTTACTTGTCTCCTTCTTGATGGGGTCGATGAGCTGTACCTGTCCTGCTGAGAACCCCACCAGCAGGGACACACTCTCCGCCGTCGCCGTGAGATGGTTGAAGTCATGACACGTGGGCTGCGTCCCTTTGTAAATGCGTTTATCTATGGGCTTGCTTAAGTCAGCAGCCTGGAGAGAAATGATCACAGAAACTTATAAAACAACTAAAATAACCTTGTGCATTTTGCTGCAATAGAATGAACAGTTTATGGTGTTTAACAGTTATTACACACTAAAAGAACGAGACATACAGATGCTTCACGTATTCCTGAGTCAGCTGGTGACAAAAAACAACTCAGCCGCAGTGAACAAGTCGTACGGCATAAGCTGCAGATAAACAATTTAACAAGAGACCCGTTTGTTAATGATTTACAGTCAACACCACTCGCAGCATGGAAAATTCATTTCAGACCAAGATGATGACTCAGAGTTTCTTTGGCACCAATTAGGTTTACCAGCGATTGTTTGGCTCTCACATCAGCTAAGACATTTCATTATTTTAAGACATATTTTGACATTTTGCAAATTAGTTAGGAATAAAACTAAAACTAAATCCCCCAAAATGTAAAATAAATCTAATCATATCTGTAATAGCAGGTGAAACTTCAAATGAACCTTATTACACTATAATCATTTACAGTAGATATAATTTATGAAAATCCCTTTGACAAAGTTTTGATAAGAGACGCATGAATATTTTAAAATGCCACTTAGTTCTGTAGAAACCTTAATTCAACATTTTCAGCCAAACCTAAATTGCAGACTGAGACCAATCTGGCTATTGTGGAAATACAAGTATTGTTTACTACAAACATTTTAACATCATTTGCTCCACTGTTGTCTGTTTTGCAGCATTCTTGCATAACGCTCATTTACCAAAAATTCTGTGCCACGTTCCATTAATTTCAAAGAGTGGATTTGTTTCAGTCATCTGACAGCCAATTTCTCCTGTGCTGAAACGGCACAATGAAGACAGATTCATACTCCTAAATCAAGCTTCTCAGAATAAAAACTATCACACCGAAAACCTTTCTATTTTGTAAAACCAGCAGCTTGTTGACTGTTTGTACCATGACTTGTAAGCCAACAACCATGTTCTGAAATCCAGATACAAGCTATCATGTGATGTTCCCTCAGTCTCCATTGTCAGCTTGAATAAAAACATCTTAATGCATTTCTCTGTACTCTGCCTCACTCGGGGCTTCTGGAGAACCAAATGACTCATTAATGACTGAAAGTCTATGCTGGATATAAAAGTGCAGAGGGCAGCGATAGGGCTCCAACACATATACAACCTCATTACAAATACTAAACATGGTGAGTCAGCCTAATTTAATCAGATGTATTCCAGCCTGATGCAATTCAAGTGAAAGGAGGAGGTTGCAAATCAATCATCTGTCATCTTGCTACTAAACAGAGAGGAATACTTTGGTATGATAGGAACTACAAAACTGTTTTATTTTACTGACTGCCATACATTACAGTGAAACAAACTATGACAGATCAATTTAAAATACTACTAATAAAACAAGATCTGGGCAATAAGCTTATTGACCCAACAGCTGCTCATAACCTGAACGTGCATCTCTGTCATGTCTCCTGTCACAAGTCGACAGGTGCTGACGGATGGCAACTTGCAGCTCAGGTTCATCACAAACAAACATTTTAAACCCTCAACAAGTTCAGACCCAACAAAAATGTCAGCTTTACTCCAATTATATTATTTAAAACATGGAAAATCTGAGCCATCAAGTAGAAATATAAAGGAGTAGCGGTGCAGGGACTGAGTTTAGCCTCTGGCCTCCGAGCTGCAGCTGCTTTCTTCATGTTAGTCAATTGCGCGGCTAGCTAGCGACTAGCCTAGCATCAAGCTAACTAGCTAGCTGCCAGCTAATTTCAAAGTCAAGCACCTGTCAAGAGTTCTGCAACAGCACAAAGACGAGCTCAAACTTGAGCAACAGCTAAAGCAGCAGTAATGGACTTAAGCTAGCTGCATCCTGACCTCCCGCTGGCATTAGTCGAGTTAGCACGCTACCTTTCTGACGCCTTTGTAGATGTAGAAGTAGAGCTCACGGCCCACATTGAAACAGATCCTGTCGCCGTTACCCGACTGGTCGTTGACGTTCACGAAGGAGACCTTAACCGGGTTGGAGCCCTGCGAGTTGAAAGGCACCCTGTTGGGACGGCTGTATTCGGAGTGAGTGAGGAGTTTGTAGACACCTTCCCGAGTAGTGAATTGAGTTTTAATTTCGTTCATCTCCTTCCCTCCTCCTTCCGCCGCCATCTTTGAAATTAACATTCATCCCTTTTCCCCAGGCCGGATCTTACGCACGGAGGGGAGCGGGCAGAGAGACGCTGTTAGCTTGTTAATAAAGTTTTAGAAGAAAAAAAAAAGAGCGAGACGCTGTTTAGCTTGTTAATAAAGTTTTAGAAGGAAAAAAAAGAGAGAGCGAGAGACGCTGTTAGCTGTGTTGTTAATAAAGTTTTAGGGGGGAAAAAAAGTGAGAGCGAGACGCTGTTAGCGAGCATTCCGATTCCGACTCTTCGAGTCCCTCCATCGGTTCACCGAGGAACTGGAGGAACGGTGAGATGAAACGAATCATTTCTGAGACCCTATTTACTATAAATGAACATATAAATTGAATTTTTCAAATAAAACAAGGTTTCAAAATGGATCAAATATGTAAACAACTTACTTAAGCATAACAAGACCTGCTTTATTTGAAAAAGCAGCTGCTATTTTCGCTGTGTAAAATCAAAGACACCTGGTACTGATTACTATTTTACTGAATTACTCAAGTGTTGAACAAATAATGTTTTTCAAAGTGTCCTGATGGCCTGCAGGAGAAGACAGCAAAGTTCACTTCAAGGTATGGACGTGGCTGTGTTCTCCTTTAAAGTTAAAATAATAAGAAATAAAAACGTTTGTGAATATGAAATGTTTTACTCAGCATACAGACTTAAAGTCTGAAAAACAAATTTAGTCAGATTAATTAAAGCTTTTGACATTTAAGTCATTTTCTATTGTGTTTTTCCAATAGTTCTTTTATTCACATTATAAATCTACTCATTAACAAAGTAAATAAATCAAATATAATTAAAAGGCCTACATTTTTATTGACAATATTTCAAGTTTTTTTTAAAACTTAAATATGTGCTTGCTTAAATTAATATGTTTAACTTTTGTTGTATAAAGATCTAAAGATTTACAATGAAACGTGCAAATTAATATTTTGCATCAATGCCTAGTCCAACACAGTACTTTTCAATAAATATGTTTTTTGAAAGCAGTATTCACTTTTCTAAAGAACAAGATGCTACAAATACAGAATAGTCGATAATTTTTATTTTTTTTTAACATAATTTGCACAGAATTCTGATATAAAAGTCAGAATTCTGGCCCTAATCCTCCTTGGTACCTTTGGATGTGTTCTGAAAGTGTTTAAATTCATTCCTGTTCTACATGTTTCCATTTAGATCTCAGTGACAGATATGTGCCCAACACCATAAACCAACTTACTTTTAAGTACATGGTAAGATAATTACAACGTTCTGTTTTCCTAAAGGCTAAAAATCTATAGAACGCTGTCACTTCCTCCAGGGAACAAGAGTGACCTCTGTTTTCTTTTAGTAGATGTGCAAAATGGATTCCAGCACAGATTCAGACTCAGAAATCAGTCCGAGATGGTCTGACACCAGTACTCTGGTACAAACTTCATTTGTATATTGCACAATGGGGTGGGGGGAGGGTTTGATGTCAATCATACACCAAAATACTTGGATATTTTTCTAAAATAGTGGTTTTCATCTTAAATTAAGCCTACTTTTCTTAATAAATCCAGTGTTTAGATATTTTTTTAGAATTGAATTCACCAAATATATTTAAAGGGCTTGTTTTTTCTTAGGGATGTAGAAGCAGTGCAACTTCACACCGAACAGCATCTTCATACAAGTTTGCAGGAAGACACGCCTCTCCTTCTTTGGTAAGCCTCCCTTGATGCTGCAAAAAGCATCTTCCTGTTCTGTGGCTTCATGACTGTGTATGATTGCAGCTTTTGGACCCATATGATGGGAGCTCTGAGGATTCTGACCAGTCAAACGCTGGTGCCAGCATCAGCAGCAGGCAGACAAGGCAGCAGGGAAAAGCCGGTGGGTGTCGACTGTCAGGCCGAAGGAGGCGACCAGTCCTACCTCATGCTTTGATACCTCATGCTTTGACCCTCAGTAAAATGATGAAAACTGGGAAGAGGGATTCTTTAATAGATGAGCACTCTGCAATCAGATATGACAGTGATGTCCAGATGGGATGTGGAGGTGACCCTGAGCTGTGGGACTGTGACAGGGACGTCTCTGGAAACACTGTAACACACCTCCAGACTACGGCTATGGAGCTGCAGCTCAACGACTCAGGCTTCCACATGAGATCTTCCACACCCAAACGTCAAACCTCAGTGGGAAAAGGTTCAGTACAGATGCTGAACAGCTGCTTGGAGCGATCATCATGCAACCTCAGATCTCCGTTCAAGAGAAAGGTGGAACTCCAGGAAGCTGAAGTGGATCTGGGGCCAAGAAAAAGGCACTATGTCGAGAACATGGAGGACGAACATGAACGAAAGGACTGAACAAAAACCTACTGACAGTAAAACTGTAGTTATTTAGAAATGCATTGAATTTGCTCATGTATGTTCAAAATGTTAACTTTTTTCATAAAAGCTGACAAGTTTCTGTTAATGCATTAATAGGAACGTTTAGGTTTGTCCTGATTTTAACCCAGTTCAGAGTTTTAGCTTCGTGTTCTTCATGAAAACCCAGATTTTTGTTAAACTGAGCTGTTCATTTTTTAATACACCGATGTAAATGAACAAATATGAAACCCTGCAGACATTTATAGAAACGTCCATGATATATAAAAAAGAGTTTAATTACAAATGCGCCTCTTAAAGAGGCATCATGTTAGATTTTGCAGTAGTTTCTGTAGTCAAGAGCAAAGCTAAAGTTAGGCTGCAGTTCTTGGACGTGTTCCTGTGATATTCAGGGCAGTACTTGGATTATTGCAGATTACACATCACCTCACTCTGTACTTGAAGACCAGTTTACTAATCTGATGCTGTATCTTACCTGAAGGACTGTGAAAGAAGCACAAATCTTTATACCTCTGACATTCATACTCTCCATGTCTACATCTGACCACAAAAATAAACCATCTGAGGATATTCAAGAAATGTTTCTACAATCAATTTCAGTCCCTATACAAGCGGTGCGAGAGTTTGGTTTGCATGTCAGATCCCTTCAGGGTGGGAGTTGGACTCGGCCAGGGCTGCCCGTTGTCACTGATTCTGTTCATAACTTTTATGGAGAGAATTTATCTGCAGCCAGCGTGTGGAGGATTCTCAGGATTCTCTGCTCTTTGCAGATGACGTGGTCCTGTTGGTGTCATTGTGCCATAATCTCCAGTTCTCACTGGAGCGGTTCGCAGCCGAGTGTGAAGCAGCTGGGATGAGAATCAGCACCTCCAAATCTGAGCTCATGGTCCTCGGTCAGAAAAGGGTGGATTGCTCTCTTCAGGTTGAGAGTGAGGTTCTGCCTCAAGTGAAGGAATTCAAGTAACTCAGGGTTTTGTTCACGAGTGAGGGAAGAATGGAGTGTGAGACTGACAGACTGATTGGTGCAGCATCTGCAGTATTGTGGACTCTGTACCGGTCCATTGTGGTGAAGAAGCAGCTGAGCTGTAAGGCTAGCTCTCTGGTTACAGGTCGATCTACGTTCTTATCCTCACCTATGGTGATGAACTATAGTGACTGAAAGAATGAGCTCATCGATACAGGAGGTTGAAATGAGTTTCCTCTGCAGGGTAGCTGGACTCTCCCTTAGAGAACGTGAGAAGTTATCAGGAGAGACTCGAGTAGAACCGCAGCTCCTCCACATCAAGAGGAGCCAGTTGAGGTGGTTCGGATGCCCCCTGGATGCCTCCCTAGGGAGGTGCTTCAGGCATGTCTGACTGGGAGGAGCCCCCAGGGAAGACCCAGGACACGCTGGAGAGACTACGTCTCTCAGTTGTCCTGGGAACACCTTGGAGTCCTCCCAGAAGAGGTGGCTTTGGAAAGATATGTCTGGACCTCCCTGCTCAAGCTGCTGCCCCCGAGACCACACTTTGGAACAAGCAGAAGATAATGGTTTCTACATGTGTGGCATCCAGTACCGTTAGTCCACATCTAAAATACACCCAAACAGTAAATCACCAATAAACCAATAATAAAACATTTTAAAAAGCATCACTCTTGACAATTTAAAGGTGATCAATAGTTTAGGACCCCCAATGGGCAGTGGTGGTGCAGAGGTTAAGAGAAGGTGGACCTATGATCGGAAGATCGCTGGTTCAACTCCTGGTACCGACATCAAAATGTGGGTGGGAAAAGTGAAACATCTGCCTCCACCCTCATTTGCCCCAGTCTGAACCCTTGAGCAAGGTCCTTAACCCCCACCATCTGCTCTTCCCCCCCCACCCCCCAGACATCCTACATGGCAGCTCTCTGCTCCACACAGAGGGCTGTGGTAGCTCAGTGGTTGTGTCAGGAAGGACAGCTGGTGTAAAAATAATTGCCACTTCTTTGCACGCTGTGGTGACCCCTGAAGAAGGGAGCAGCTGAAAGAAGAAAGTTTTGGCCCCATCAGAGATTTGACTGATCTTAAAAGAAGTTCCCAGTGACATTAAAACTGTCCATGAGGCTGACATGTCTACGTTTGAGACTAAAGTCTTTCCTTCTTATAGTTGGGCGGCTGTGGCTGAGTGGTTAGAGCAGTCGTCCTCCAATGCAAGAGTTGGGGGTTCGAATTCTCCAGCAGTCACATGCCCAAGTGTCCCTGGGTAAGACACTGAACCCCTCATAGCCTCTGATGTGTGTCCCATTAGTGTATGATCTAAAGCTCTGATTAGTCTCTTTAGAATGATTTGTTCATCTTTGTAGAGATCTAGTAGAGTGCTGTATGAATGGGTACATGAGGCACAGATTGTAGTGTAAAGCACTTTGAGCATCTTTAAATAAGATAGAAAGGTGCTATACAAGTACAGTCCATTTACATTTTATAAATCATGTATGTGAATGTTTGTGTTCAGTGCACTGAGACAACTTCTCTTGGGACTTGGTGTTATATAAGTAACGTGATTGAATTAAAATCCAGTAACGTTCACACAGAAGGTAGTTTGTTCATTCCAGTAGGTTTTATTCAATCTAAAACAATCTTTTCATTAAAATGCTTTAACCTTCCTTTTACCATTCACTGTTTCCCTCTTGTTTCACCATCTGACAACTTTCTCTTAACCTTCAAAAACACTTTCCAAACCTCTACGACAGACACACGTGCATTACTGCGCCACAGACGTTTAATATTGGAATATAAGAATCTACAACTGCAGAGCTACTGGAAGGAAGTGATTCATTGTGGCTTTTGTTGCTTCCAAAAGAAATGATTTATTCTGTGCACAGAACAGCAACTCCACGCTCGTAGAAGCTGTGAGGATCTTCCTTGGTGGCGATGTCAAAGTCAACGGTGAAGATCAGGTCAGACCTGGTGAAGTTCAAATACACAGGTAGCGTCACCTGTAGTGGGGAGGAAAACAAAAGCAGATTTTAATTGTTTTTTTTTCCCCCAGTCATCATATGAATTATGTTTAAAGTCCACATGAGTCGTACCACGTGTCTCTTCTCTGCGTTGTTCTGCTTCACCCAGCGGAGCTGAGTCAGAGGCAGCTCAGTGGAGATGGAGGTGGACAGAGACAACTTGTTGTTGGCACAAGTAGCTCCCTGCAGTTTCAGACCTGAAAGACAAGCACCAAGTTTTAAATGAGGACTTCCTAAATGACAAATGTCCAGGTCTTCACTCACAGCTGACGGACACAACTTAATTTTAAGTAAAGTGAAGCATGAGTGATGGGGGCGGTGCACTGAATAAGAAATAATGACAAACCTGTCAGAGCAGACGAGATTTAAAGAAATTTCAAGTTACCCCAATTTTTTTTATTAGCACAAATGGTGTAATAAGAAAAACAACGTGACATTTCATAATGTTTTCATGAGCGCTGCACATGGGACGTGTTGTGTCAGACCTTTGATGCCAAAGCTGCAGGCGTCCAGCGCAGCGTCCTGGGCTGTGGTCACGTTCACCTCCAGGCACAGCTCTTCTAGTGACCAGCTGTTGGCTTGGGCCACGTACTGGCGAGTAGCAGTAATGTAAGCTTCTGGCACAAACAGGCTGCCCAGGCACACATGGATGTTCTACAAACGGCAGGCAGAGGGAAACGGTTTTAATGATGAGGCAGAAGCAGAAAAATGACTGGAAATGCATTTTAATTTCATGTTCCACTCGGAGACAAACGGTACCTTCAGCTCCTTAGCGCCACCACTGGCAGCTGCCTGCGAGATCTGCTGCAGCTGTTTGATGCGCTCACTGAAGTCCGACACCCACTGGATCACAGTCATGGAGGTGGGGACGGTGTATCTGCACCAGCTGCGAGGCAGGATTCCTGACAGGAGACAGATGTGCACATCCAAATGACACCTCAAACATTAAACAGACAAGTTTATTATAAAGGATAATAAAGTTATGTTGAAACCTTTAACGAGGTCACTGATGAGCGTGCGCAGGTAGTTTGTCTGCTTCTTTTTGCCCTCGCACACGTGCACCACGTCGGACAGATTCTGACGCACCTCCTGAAGCATCTTGCCGCCCATCTTCACCTCGCGTTCAAAGAAGCGGAACAGTGGGTCCTGGTGTTTGGACAAAGATGAAATTAAAGCAAATGCAGAAGAAAAATGTTGGTTTACTTGGTTACCTCACAACAAGTGCTCATCACAAAAACTAATTACAGTCAAGAAAAATACATCTTAGATTTGCCTCATGAGGTATGCTTGTAAACAAACGTTCCTGTGGGGGTGAGTGTCATTTTCTGCTTTTACCTTGATGTTCTCTACTGTGCGTTTCAGTGGATTGACTGTTTGAGGCATGAGCTGCAGCCAGTTGCAGGCTGTGGTGTGGAGGGTCCTCATCCAGGCCGGCTGAGCATCAGACGTGGACGACGCGCGCTCCTTCTTCTCAGTCTCATAGGCAAGGTCATCCTCATCCTCCAACATCTGCATTTTCAACATCTTACCCATCATGTCAGTGCCTGCGCAGCCCAGCAGAGGGAGCAAGTGAGGAGGGAGGAGAGGGAGGAAGAGGAGGGGTGAAAGACAAGGCCATGGTGGGAGGTAAGGGGGAGAAGAAATTATTGTGGAACAGAAAAACTGAACAGCTAACCTTAAGGATGTGATTAAAAAAGGGGGGTATTTATTTCTAAATATTTATATATAAAAACAAACAAATAAAAGCCAGAAATTAAAATATTAAAGAAAAAACACAGGGCTTTAAGCAACATTTAAGTTGAATGCAACACCATTTGACACAAAGATAATGACACATTATCGCTGTCTGGATCTGGAAAAACATGAAAGCAAAGGATTCAAGAAGGTTTTAATAAAATAAAGGATGGTATCAGCATGAAGTAAAGAGGGAGTGCAGCCTGGGAATGGGTGCTTCAGTTGCTGGTACTATGGCAGTTTGGAGATCAGTCTAACTAAACAGAGGTCAGGAGGGGGAGGCCGAGGAACATGGAGGTGGGTGGATGCCATTTAAAACCTTAAATTGAGGATGG